GTGCTACACCCACGACAGTGTAAGCAAATTTTCCAACCTGCACAATGCCAACAGTGCCCACAGCAAAGAAAAGGCCCTGGCACCAGTTTCCTGAGCACTTCCAGTTCCTTCCAGTGTCTGTTGGTGGTACCTTCATGTATGATGGGGAATGTGTCCTAGGGACACAGCACAGCAGAAATGTAGTTTGCCATAAGGACTGGGGCTGAGTGCTGACATGAGTGTTTAGAGTAGTTCTGTATCACAAAGATCTGAAACCCAGTTTGAGCACAATCTGCAATTGCCATTAATTAGTATTCCTCTCCCTGGTCAGGGTAACAAAGGGAGGAAATAGCAATGGTTAGGGACCCTGGGACACCTATCATTGTCTATCTTCATTGATGACCAACTGCAAGTCTTCAGGACCTAGTTCTACTCTCCAACCTACTGCTAGGGCTAAAAAGCTCTCACTCCCAAATAAAACTTCTGTGCCCTCCCCTTCTGGAACCTACTCTCTTGCTTGCAACTCTAAACATGGAGACTGTCACGATTTTAGAGCATGGTGTGCTCCTGCTGTCATGCCTACACATACAAGTCCCCATTCTCTGCCTATGGCACACACTCGTGTCTCTTTTTTGCGATTATTCACCATACCTTATGGTGTCCCAGATCTCCTGTACCCCTCTAAGTACTAAACCTCATATACAAATGCAAGTTAAATATACTTTAGTGTTCATGCTGGAAACATTTATCTGAAAATGGTGGAAAGCAGCGCATCACTTGCCAGGAGCCTGCCATTACAATTTGCCATAGTGGGCAGACAGTTATCCATAACATGCTGATTTCCAGGAGAGTTGAAGTGCTAACATCTAGCACAACTCCACTTTGCTTGTCAGAGGCATCAGCAAAGTCCCATTTAAACTGTCATAGATAGACTGGACCTCCCTTGTACATCAGTGGTGTGATATAGGGTGATAGCATTTCTAGGAGATGCCTTGGACAAGGGAGAGAAAGAACCTGGAGCTTCAGACCAAGCTTTGGAACAACATGGGAGGACAACAAAGCTGGACATAGCTTAATACAGGGCAAGTCAATTAACAACCATATCACTAAGTGCTGTCAATTTTAAAAGGTATTTTGAACGGAAGAGAAGCCAGTTCCTTCCAGCTCTGCTGAAGCCCCAGCTGACTTCCACCTTATATAATCACCTTTTCCGATAGACTGGATAGAAGTTAGTATTTACTAAGCCAGAGACCACTTTTCTCTCAAAAATCACACACTGTAACTATTTATGCTACCCTTGATACACATGAATTTCAGGACCTGCTAGTCAGCAATAGATTTTTGCTGCTTTTTTTTTTACAGAAGTATGGCATTTAATAGGTCCATTCAGGACTAGGTGCCAAGCAACTGTGAGTTCTTCTTGAGCAGGCAGGCCCAGCTAATTTCAAAATGGATTGCTCTGCGAAGGAAGGATAGCACTTCCCAGATCACAGAAATGGTTTACTGGCCTAAGTCTCATATAAAATAGTCTCTTGGTAAAAAGTTAAACAGTTTTAAAAGGTGTCAGAGAAACCATTAAGAGATAAAAATTCACAGAGCAATTTTGCCAGAGAAAAAGCATAAATAAAAAGTGCATCATTTCTCTCCCAGACTTTCTTGCAAGTCAGCTGTGTTCAAAGAGATGTGCTATAGCTAGAGTTGAGCTAAAGGCAATTAAAAAGCGTTAGCTGTCTTGTGTCAACTTTCAGCTTGTACTCCTGCACTTTAATCAGAAAATCAGCAATTATATAAATGGTGCCACTGAACAAAGGGAGAGCAGAGAGTACAGCAAGCATAGATCAAATCCTGTATATATCTTGAGATGTAAAATAGCAACCGATCCTTATTTGTGTCTGGGGACATTCATTCTGTATCCAGAGAAAACATACACATAAAGAACTGCCTCTCGCGAGGAAATATGGATGCTAAAACACATCTTTGAGTCAGCTCAGGCTGTTTTGCTTCAAGGATATACTGATCTGCTTTTTAGTTTATAAGTTTTAGTTATGTCAGATGTTACAGATTCTTCTTTCAGCCCATATATAAATACAACAGGCTACTTAGAGCATTAAAAGGAAGAAATCTGATCCCAAATATTAAGCATGAACTATTCTGGGAAGTAATCAAAACTTTTTTTCTTTTGTGTTTTTTCTTAAAAAAAACAGACAAAACATCTTGTCACTCATCTTAAACCAGCACTTGCTAAAATTAAAAAAAAAAACAATTGCTTGTACAATCAGCAGCTTGTGGTTTCTTGCTAAACTACTTCTAAGCAAACAGAAAAATAATCCATGAAGTGAGAACACTGAGCCAGGATAACATCTCCATTGCAATTAAGCAGAACACGCCTCTTTGATAGGACAATCAACTTCATGCAGTAACTGCTAATGGAAGGACATTTCTCAAAGCATCAGGACATGCTGTGTTTCTGACTACTTACAAATTTTAATGAGAAGTCTATTTGGGATTTCATAGTCCCATTTCTTGTGCCGTAAAAAACTCACCCACAGCGTTCAGGCACTTTCAGCTAGTGCCAGGCAGGAGCCCTCCCTCTCCCTCCAGGTCTTTGTACACAAACCCCAGAGCCCACGGAACAAAAACGCCAAGTTACCTGGAACTGCAGCTTGGGCTGATGGAGAGGTTGGTGGTCAGGAGAACTTCATACTCATTTTGAATTTCTGTGTTGGCAATAGGGTCAAAGGGCACAGCAGAGTTACAACTGGTGCAACATACACTTATTGTGTGCACTTTAAGCAGAAAAGATGTCAGTCCTGTGGGATTTGTGCACAAGGTATTTCTGAGGGGAAGAATCAGGAATTACATTTGCAGTGTAGTAAAGCCACCATCCCGGAGAACGAAGCTATTCCCCCAAAAAGCAATGCTGTGTAGATTAATTTATGATCTGTTTTTGCTTCAAACAAGTCTAGAACTAGAGAACAGAACTTGTTAGGGTCTACACTTTCAGGAATTGTCACGCTCTAATTATGCAACTCTACTTTCCCCCACCATCTGTGCCTTCTTCTTCAGTATCTCAGTGCTTCTGCCTTCAGAAGGTGCAAATAATTCTTGGTTTTGCTGTTTCCTTTCCCCCAGGGGGTTATATTTATAATATAAGAGCCAGACTTGCTTGTAAAAAGGTGGAGAGAGAAAACACCTCTGTTCAAAGTGCTGCATCTCACACTGGGCTGGGGCTCTCCTCTTACTGAATGTCTCTGCATCAAACAGATGGTCCAAAAGGAGACCATGCAGCAGATCTCGAGGGACAGCATAAACAACAGATACTGACTATGCATTCATTTCAATTCTAGCTCTGCAAAGGAAGTCAAAGTTATTTTATATGGTGACACTTTCCTTACCCAGCCAGTAGTTACCGGCTCTTAGTACCTGGCTGCCCATTTCTAGGTCAGTAAAGAAAAAATGATCAGGTGAATGTTAATTGCTTCTCTTCAGCTTTGCCAAAAGCTTTCCTAACACTCTTCTCCCAGTGAAATTTAAGGTATGAAATTCCACATGGCAGGCCAGGAGTTCCTGATGTCAGAAATGTGGCTTAGAGCCTGGTTTCCCCCTGTAGCTCTGCCAGTCTGCCAAGGCATGGGCAGGACCATGCCTAGGATGAGGCTGTCACTTCACTGGGCAGCACATCCTCATTTTGGATGTAAGAAGTGGTTACTGACAGGTCAGGAGTCCTGGAAACAGGCTTCCTTATCCCTAGCTCCCTGCCACCAAAAGTAGGCATGGTGACCTGTCCTACCTCCACATCTTTGAAGATCTCAGTGAGTATGTCATTCACCTAATGCCTGACACATTTTCACAATAGGAAGCTTCCTTGGTCTTACAGAACTGAATTACAAACCCTAAGCTGCTCTGGTTGCACAGCTGAAGACACACTGGGGAAATCACATCTTTGAGCCAAAACCCACAACATATTTGCTGTCATGATGGCAGAGCAGTTTTTTAAAGTTAGTTATAACATGACGAGTCAGTCATCAGTAACAGCAGCCTGACAAAATACTGCAATTTACAGCTCTGCTAGTTCAGGAGGACTATTATTTTTGTAAAGATTGACTGATGCTTTCTGAATTGTACTAGAATATAAGGTTTTCTTTCCAAAAGAATCATGGGATGGGAATATAAAAGAGAGGGTGTTCTTTTAAGCAACGAAGACACTAGCATTTGGTAAATCAAGTTTTGATTTATTAAACTATTGTACCTGAATGACCTGGTGTAAGGGAAGGCTGTAGTTCAGCCATTTTTGTTGCCAAGTTCACTTAGCTAGACAATAGCCATGAAGTTGTCTCATCACAAACACTCCTGTGTATTTCCATATTTAAGTGGACTCCTGTATACAGCACAGAGAAGGAAAAGAGCCTGCTATTGTCTGTTTAAAGGACAGATGAGTATGTAGTGCACAATAGTGCTGAAACCAGAGGACATAGATGGAGGCAGACGTTTCCTGGCTTGTAATTCACTGATAAATGCTGATAGGGCTGAGCATTAACACCCTTCTTCACAAATATGCTTTGCTTCCAGGTCTAGTTTTTAGCTACCAGCTCATAGAAAGCTTTAGATAAGTCAGACACCACTTTTCCCTTCCTCAAAAAAGTATATTTGAACCCTTTCCTTTCTAACAATAAAGCAAGCTTCTGGCAAATGGAACTGTGTCAGTATGACCTTTCTAATATGAGAGACAAGGCTAAGAGCTCGGCGTAGATAAATCTCTCTGAAATGTGAAGGTATATTTACAATGGATGAGCCATTACACCAAATTCCAGATCACTTCCTTTTCAGCAAAGTAACGCTGCTGCTGAAGCAGTCCATCTTTGCTATCCCTGCTGCTGCAGCAGCACCTTCCCCTGGTAAATCAGGTTATCTGAGATGAACAGAGGGTACCAATTTTATTTTGACAGATGAGTACCATCTGTGTAAAGGACTTGACACTAAACATTCACCCAAACACAGAAGGATAGTATTTCCTAGGCACCTTTCAGGAATAGAATTTATATCAGCACTACAGCACCACAAGCTTTGCTGCATTAAAAAGAGGGTTTCTGAAGCTGAGTGCTCAAGTTTGAACTTCCAAAGAGGAAGGGTGTGCAGGAATGTGACCTGAATCATAAACATTTAGCCAGTCTACACCACAACTCTTTTATTGAGGAAAAATACACAAAAACCTGAAAAGTTCCTGTTCAAGTTAATCAAACGTTTTGGTTTGCAACTGATGAAATCCAGTAGGCAGAAACACTGCTGTAGACTACTGGTGACTCTGAACAGCACTTTTCATGGCCCCAGCTTGCAATACCAACTAGCTTGTAATGCCCATCAATCTGACAGATCAGCAGCCACCCAGAGTCTCCCTAAAAGAGAGAAAGAAAAGAGGAAGGGGAGAGAATGAGAAAGCAAAGTGTAACTACCTATTAGCAACATCAAAACCATCCAAATCTAGGAAGCTAGGGGATGGCATGGCTTTGGGTCCTGTTTGTGTGCAGGGCAGCATTCCCACCCTGTCAGTTAAATACCATGAAAAAGGCTGTCCCCACAGCTCTCCTGCAGATGTTGGTCTCTTCGGTATTTTGTCCCCAGTAGCTCGCATAGGCCTCATGGGAGAGGAGAGAGATCTCTGCTTGTTGGAGCCTGGCAGCCAGTTCTTCCTCTGGGAAAAGCAACAGAGTCAGGGAGGCTGCGGAGTCACAGCCCTGTAACTGCTCCTGGTAGCCCTTCAGTGCACTTTTGGGGGCAGACCCCAGCATGGGGATTACTTCCCTTTGCATGTATGCTATCCAGTATTACACAAAACAATATTTCACATGCCTCAGGAAAAGAAGTCTCTCCCCAGACAGTTGTATGGAGCCACCTTGGCTTTTGCAGTCAGTGCAGCTTGGAGCGGTGCTTTCTGAAGCTGGAGATATGCAGTTGGCAGAGGAAACCAAGACCATGAGCCACAGCAGTAACTGGGTTGCAGTCCCCAGTCAAAAGTGTGTATGCCCTATAGTCTCCATACCTCTCCCTTGTCTCTCGGAGGGGTCATCAAAAGACCAGAAGGGTTGGGGCAAGCCCCTAAGAGACAGCAAAGGCAACTTCTTGCAGGGCACAGACAAGCACTCGCAAACCTTCTGTCAGCATCCCCAAGTCTGTCATCACCTTGCCAGCTTTCTTAGGTTAACCTCCATCCAGCTAGTAGGGTGCTTCCTTGCCACTATCTGTGCTAGAATTTGGCTAGGGCCCAGTCTGATGGGATGCAGACAAGTTTTGCACCAGCTGCATTCAGGCAAATGTACCCCAAATCTCCTGGCAGAGGGATCAGTGGCTATTTTGAATCAGGGGATGGTACAGCTGTCTTCAGTTTGAAGGTGGGAGGAACATCATCTTCAACTGCCTAGCCACTGAGCTGTCCCAAGGAGACACTGTCACCAGGAGGTGACCTTGCTACTGAGCAGCAGGTGTGACATGGGCCAGAGGCCCCAGGTATTGAGACACCGTGAGAGTAATCTCATCTCCCTCAAGTTCATTCCCCTTTGCTTAGCCTCCTCTTTGGCTTTGCCTTTCCCAAAGTAGCAGCTTTCCGACAGAAAAGGCAGCCTGGCTCCTACCTGGAAAAAGTTTCACATACTGCAGGCAACATTTAGGGTCTCCCAGCACTGCCCTCAGTCTGAGTTGTCACTGCCCTCGATAGGTCATAGGTGTTCTTTCATATGAGTAACCCGTACTTACTGCCAGCTCCCGTCTCTTCCCATCCTGCTGTTAAGCATCTTGCGACAGTGCTTGCTTCCTCCCCGCTGCCTGGTAAGCAAGTTGCTGCCACAGAACTGCCTGTGTGGAAAAGCAAATTCCCATCGACACCAGGTACAGCTTTCCTGCTCTCACTTCTGTCAGCCCCCTGCTTTTTTTGCCTCAACTCATTGCTTCATTTCCCCTTCCTTCCAAATATCCCATAATGAGACTGCAAAACAGATGAGATGGAGCTTTAATAATGTATATGTTCCCTTGCTGTACTCACCAGATGCCTGAGAGTGCTGTTTTAATGAGTCAAATCTGGCTTTCTCCTAATACCACAGCACAGTCAAAGCAAATATCTTTTGAGGGCTATTTCTAAGAAGATGAGAGAGGAGACCCTCCAGACCCTCCAAAGAGGCACAGATTCAGAGGGTTTAGGGAAGACACCTTCCTCAGGCCAGTTTGCTCCAGTACCTCACTCCTTGAGTGCAGAAGCCTCCCATCATCAGTGCACGTAGTTAGGTGGTTCCTTGGGAGGACTGTGGCATTTTCTTAGTGGATACTATTAACAGGACATGGCAAGATCCATATGCTTATATAACCTCCTTACTCACACGCTCTGTTCTTGTGCAGCAGCTCTATTTAGATCACATTTCTCCACTGCTAAACATTTGTATTCAGTTCTCCCCCTTTCTTTCCCCCAAGTCCTGCCCCGAGTTATTCCATCCAGTTTGTTATATGCAACCAAGTTTGCACTTTATTGTATAAAATCTAAATTATATACTGAAGGAATATTTTGCTGCAGAAGAAGAATATTCTGTGGTTTAGACAAAGGGTACAGGCAACTTAAAAGCTTTTTCTTTACATTTCAGCCCGTGCTAACTCAGAGATTACTTTGCTACCTGCATAGAGGTGCGTATCATATTAGTGCTGGGCATACCAATCTTTATGAAGAAAAAAATAAGAACAGCTTGTGGGACACGAATGCTTATTTTTGGCTCATTAACTTTAATGGTCATACTACAGCTGTGACAGGTTGGGAAGACAGGTAGAATAGGTGATCTTTACTATTCTTTAGATCACGTCTAGCCTACACTTATACCTTAAAGCCACAGGCAAGTCTGCTTGGAAGGCCTGATTCAAAGCCTGTTGACAACAGCAGAAGTATTCCTAGCTTTCATGATGTATTTTAACCAGGTAATAGGAAGCAAGCCTCCCTGAAGGGTCACTGTTCATTTTGCTCCCATCCACCTTCCCACACACTTACTAAACACTGTGTCCCATGTCAAAGCCTTATAACCATTAACCCCAGCACAGCTGAATATGGTGGGGCTCTAAACAGTGCCCGGTTCAATGGGTTTCTGCAGCTCCAGGAGTGCCAGGTCATTTCTGAAAGGAAACCCACCAAAGCTACAGTAGGTGTGCACAGCTTACACAAGTGTCATCCTTCACATTTGGCAACACGCACTTTTTTCCCCAGAACTTTTCTGTCTGAGCACCGAGCAAAGAAAACAAACACATTTTTCAGTCTAAAAAGCCCCCTATTTCAGACAACAGGAAGAGTCCAAAGTTCCCTTGTAACATTTGCTGTCAAGCTCCGCTCATGATCAGAATTTATAGCCTTACATCCAGGGACACTTTTGGGAATCCCAGTTGAGGTATCTGTGCTTCTTTTGCAGTGCTGACAGAGAACTTTGATTAGTACCTCCAAAGATTTGCTGTTGTTATGATTAACAAAAGGCATCCAGAGGTGAGTCAGTTGCTCGCCTTCTTAGGAACCAGACCCCAACACTGACAGAGCTTACATTGAAGCTACAGATCTGGGCTGTATATACTAGTTTGATGAAACATTCAAGACCTATGCCACAGTCATGAGTGCCTACGTACAACAGAGATGAGTGTTCAACAGAAACACGTGGCACCTCAGCCTAATTGAGAACAATAAGTACATAATGGGGATCCAGAGACATCATACAGACATCAGCAGTTTGGGGCAGGGTGGGGGGCAGAGGACAAGCTTTCCCAGGGCCATTTTTCATCAATTAGAAAGCCTCCACAGAAATGTTGATCCTCATACTGCAGGCTGTATGCCAGGATCAGGACACCAGGGTTGACCGACCACTTTCACCCCTCCTGGGCTTCCTGCATGGGTCCACCAGCAAGCCTATACTTGTTGCAGGCCCCAGCCCAGGGAATGGATCCACCACTGGAAATCCACATTTCTCTGGAATTATTTCCTCATTGTTAGTGAGGATTTTTCTGGGTGTGGGGTTTTTTTGTTGTTAAAGAAAACTGGTCACAGCTGGGTGAACTGATATGCCTCAACACTAAACAAGCACCAGAGTTGTTCTGGACAGCCATGTCCACCAAAGGTTCCACAACAGCCTGCTGGTGGGATTGAAGCATCTGTATTGGAAAGATCTGGGAATGCTTTGCTCTAATTTTCCCTTCAAAAGAACAGAAGTTGCCCACACATGCTAAAAAAATAAAGACCTCAACTTATACTAGTTGAAGAAGGACTTGAATCTTGATGTCCCAGATGTGTACAGGCTGGCAACATGTCCTGGGTAAGTAGCTCTCCACAGATTTTTTTACAGGAAGTCACATTCTGCAGGTAAGAAGCATTTCCTCACTTTTTTTTTTTTTTTTTTTTTTTTAATATAGTCAAAATTATATTTATGAAGTGTTTTCATTACAGTAACTCTTCATTTTCCAAAATTAGTTCACTAAAGTGTTCCCAACTGTCTCCAGTAACAGCAAATTAAAGAGTGCATAAATAACCTGTATCCCACCATCTCCAGTTTTCACTGATCACAAGAAGTGTTTTCATGAGAAAGGAAAGAAACAAAACTAGAAAAGAACAGTATTTACTTTCTTCAGAAACTGGATGAGTCTAGAGATAAAAAGGTGTAACAAAAGATAGTCCATTAAAAGCTTGTCATTGGTAGCCCTGGTTCAGAAAAACCTACTGAGAGTTTTAAGGGCTGAGAGGTACAACACATCCCCTATTTCCCCCCTTTCAGTGGCACTCTGGACCATGCCATAGGAACATTTTTATCACAAGCTCCCTCTATCCCTTCTGTGTGCCACGGGAAAAAGCACAACCCTCTAGTAAGAGCAGCCAAGCTCTCCAGCAAAAGTTATCACAGATGGATTAAACTGTTTGGTGTTCTGCTTCCTGTTTATAGTGTCAGGTTCCAGACAGTGGTTATTAATTAATCAGAGGTCACTAACATGCTGAGAACAATCATTCCTCCCAATAAGCATCTGTTTTAAACAAAAGCAAGCCAATCCAAAACCAAGTTTAAACAAACAGTCATTCCTCAGGGACGTTTGTGTATTTGGCTCAGTCACAGCGTGAACTGCAGAGATACGAGGACTATGACCTAGCGTGAAGTGCCTGGGGTGAGCACTGAATTAGCTTGCTGCAGTTTTGGATACATCAGAGCACAGAAGAATTCTTGAAGTGGTCTCAGACAACAGCTTTAGTGGAAGCACATTCAGCAAATAAACATTACAAATGTCCCTGCCTGTAACCTCAATACTATTTTAACAAGAAGATTGCTTTGTGGCATAGGCAGGGAAAGACCCAGAGCCTTACTTACATTGTCTGCTACCTTCCAGCTCCCTTTGCGTTAGCTGCTGATACAACTCTTTAAGGATTTTGAAACCTCTATATCTCACAGATTCATCAGTTTTGAAATGTAGAGTCAGGAACCTGCTGCTGGAGAGCATATTAAAAGATTTTTTTTGGCCAAGTAAGTTTGCTGGTGGGGAGAAGAAAAAAAACCCTGCAATTTTAGTCAAGTAGTTTGGGACGCAGCCCCTCCACTTATTACCAGGGACATTTTAACCCAAGCCATTTGATACTCAAAGATATTAGTAGATGCCAAGATTTCTCTGAGGTCTTTAAAGAGGTGCATCTCCAGTGGCATACGCAGTATCACTCCCTACCCAGGCTGAAGAGGTGAAGCCTATTGCAACAGCCAAATTGTTATCATATTCTACAGGAATGCCTCTTTAGTGTGATTACTTCAATAACCAGTTCTCTTGCCTACATATGTGGGAGGAGGAAAGCAGGGGGCAATAAGAACTAGAAAGGCATTAAGCCATTCTCGTAAATATTTCTGTACCCAAAGATCCTGATGTCTGTGTGGCACAAGGCAGCTTTGGTACTCAGAGCAGCATCTGCTCAAATTATTCAAGACACAGAGCAAAACAAGTGTCAAGAGACAAAGGCTTAAGGAAAAAAGGGTTTTAAAGGAAGTATTGATAGAAGTATCCTCTCAGATACAGCCATGATGCTGGAAGTCACAAGCTGCTGAGTCCAAACCACTTCTACTGAAGAAGCCTTGGGTGACAAGAGCTGCTCTCAATGGCCCTGCTGCCACTTGGCCCTGTCATGCAGGCACTAATCAGTGTTGCTTCCCTCCCTGCCTCCCACACCCCACAGCTGAAGGGAATTTGGTCACCTTCTTTCAATAAAAGGTGTCAGAAAAGGAAGATAGTAAATGAACATATAGTTCAGGCTACCCAGAAGCCTTGAAGGGAGATGTGGTCCATTGTAAACACTCAAATGATCCCAGATGCAATCCCTTGCATCCTCAGTTACAAAGTCTTTAAGTACAGCCTTTAGCTTATTTCTTTAAGTAGAACAAGTTGTCAAAGTGCAGTTCCACATGTTGGGGTGAATGCCAGAGTAACTAGGAGATATTATTGCAGTGGCTCCAAGTAGAATTAGATCAAAGCCTAGGCACTCTGAAAATAAAAAGGTGAAAAAATCATATCACAAAGAAAAAACTGTTTCTGCATGAATTTCCTTAAGCAAACCTATTAATATTAGAGAAAGAAGAGATCTTAATGTTGGGGTTTAAGTTCTGCTGGTTAAAGTGAAAATTTGTATGGCTTCAAAGCACAAATGCTACATGCCTTTTACACAGAGAACTGTTCTTTAACCAGGAAAAGAGCAATAGATATGGGAAACTACTTGAACCCTGAAGAGTGATCTTGAGGCCAGACACTGTGACCCTACAGACAGGATCACTTGGAGTAACCTTTCCAGTTCAAACTTAAAATTTCATTAGCCTCTCCTAAAGTGTTTACATGGATGTTTCTTTCACCTTGCATTTATAGTTGCCACAAAGCTGATCAAAATGCAAAATGCTATGTTGTAGGCATGTTAACATTTTATTATATGTTTTTGCAAAATAGTCTGCATTGTTTTCAGCAGTTCCATAAATAGAACTGGCTACCATCACACCCCATTTTATTGGGCTGAAAGGAAAGCAGGGCTGACACCGTACTTCTTGGGGCAATGAAAAAGAGGAGACTGAGCCTGCTGGAAACATGAAAGGTGTAGAAGCTTGATGAGGCTTTTAATCTTCCACTTTGAGGGTCACTCTGGCTGAATAGCTGGGAACATGCTACAGGCAGGTTGGTCAAGCTGGCTAAAGTTCAAGTCCTCATACAAATAGCAGAGACAGGTTCAAGGATCCAGTGTATTTGAGACTGCTGCAGTTAGCTAAGGTTTGAGGGTTTTGGTGGGGTTTTGGTTTGTTTTTTTCTCCTTCAGGTAGATATGCATTTCTCCAATGATACATAGCAGCTCTGGTAGCAGGAATTGAAAGTGAATACAGCAAAACAGGGATGTGCTAAATGAAGAAAGTATGTTTAATACTGACATGGCTAACATTGCTGGTGAGAGCCCCATACCCAGATGTTCACACTTACCTGCAACAGAAGCTAACTCCTGAGACACAAATACAGAACATGTGTAAAAGGAGGTGGGGACACTTTTGATTTAGGTTTGGTTTAAATAGGCTTTTTACTCCTTACCTCTCACCAGCTTTATAGAAAGTTGAAACCAGTCTTACCTTTGCCAGTAGCCTTCATGTTTCCAGGTTCTAGAACTAAGAGGAAAATGCTGCCTTACCCGAGGCACACAAATGTGCAGGAGTGTACAAGACTGTTCTAGGGAGGGAAGCCTGTGACAGAAAGAGTTTCGACTGAGACTACAGGTCAATGGAAAAGGCAGCTCCTGGTTCTCAGAGCTCGTGTGTGTGTGCACATGAAAAAGCAGACAGATCTCTGTTGATGGTGCTGTAAGTCTGATGAATTTTAATATGAGAAACTTAATTGCTGTGATCTACTTCTGAAGCCTGACACACTTGCCTGATACGTGGACAAGCAGACATGCTTCATTCACAGATCAGTTAGGAGCACAGGTCAGACAGGAAAAGGGGAATGGGGGAAGATTAGATGTGACTCAAGTCACTAGAAATGCAGAATGGTTTGCTTCCACAAAAACCAGAAGTGTCAGACTGGCCAAATCTCTCCAGCTCCACGTTTCTTTGATCTGAGGCATCAAAGTACTAATTTGCTTAATGGTGCCAGGGCAGTGTCATTCACTGAGAAAACTGTCTGCCCATGTCACCAGTTGTACCCTGGCCTGGGAAGGAAGAAAGTGAGAGAGGTTTCTTTAGGCTGTTTGGAAATTAATTTCCATTTTGTAATGTGATTATCACTGTATATGTTTCAGGAATAGTATCTTCTCGACTGGCGTACCATTATATATTTTTGAAAAGCTCATGTTATGAACTTTCATGCTGTATAATTAAATTACAATATAAACTGTGTTTTTGACAAATTTTGGAGGTTTGAAGTTCAGATGTCAAAACAGCAATTTCGACAGATCTACTTCTATGAGTTCAAACTTGGACGTAATGCAGCGCAAGCTGCTCGAAACATCAGTGAGGTACATGGCCAGGGAAGTGTTAACAAACAGACGGCTTGACTTGGGTTCCAAAAATTTCAACATTGCGATTTCGACCTTGAAGATCAAGAAGGTTGTGGACGTCCTTCTGCTATTGATGACGATGAATTGAAGTCTCTGATGGAAGCAGATACACGCACAACTGTTCAAAAACTTGCAAAAGAACTCGGGGTAATCATATCAACTGTTTCTGAGCATCTGAAGATGATCGGAAAGTCAAAGAAGCTCGACAAATGGGTGCCACATGAATTGAATGAGAATCACAGAAATGGCCGTTCTGAAGTGTTGTCAGCACTTCTTTTTCACAGCCAGAACGACCCATTTCTCAACCCAATTGTGACGTGCAACAAGAAATGGATGCTCTACAATAATCGCAATGATCGGCTCAGTGGTTGGACCGCGATGAAGCTCTGAAGCACTTCCCAAAGCCAAATCTGCACCAAAAGAAGGTCATGCTGTCTGGTGGTCTGCTGCTGGTTTAATCCATCACAGCTTCCTGAATCCGGGTGAAACGATCACGATGGCGAAGTATGTCCAGCAAATCAATGAAATGCATGAGAAACTTCAACGGCTGCGCCCAGCACTGGTCAACAGAAAGGGTCCAATCCTTCTCCACGATAACGTGCGGCCACATGTTGCACTTTTGACGCTGCAATGGTTGAACAAGCTGGGCCACGAAACTCTGCCTCATCCACCGCACTCACCAGACCTCTCGCCCACTGACTATCACTTCTTCAAGCATCTCGACAGCTTCCTGTGCGGGAGAAGCTTCAGAAACCAAGGGGAGGCCAAAACTGCCTTCAATGACTGCATCACCTCCAGAAGTCCAGAATTTTATACAACCAGAATAAATATGCTTGTTTCTCATTGGCAAAAATGTGTTGATTCTAACTTCTATTTCAATTAATAAATTTTATTCTGAGCTGAGATATGCCACTTCAAACGTACAGGTTGAAATCGGCAATTAATTTCCAAACAGCTGATACTTAGAGCCCAATTAATTGTGTAGCTCCCTAGGCATGTGGCAAAGGTGAGGTTTGGTTGGGGGAACAGTGGTAACAGCAGGACCCAACATCAATATTGTCTACTAAGTGAAGAAGTAGAAAAGAGATTATAGAAGTAATCACAGGCTGACCATGAGAAAGGGAATTCTGGTTTTGTAGAGCAGAATGGAAAGGGGCATACAGAGAGCAACAGCTAAGTTAGTATCTCTTTTTTACAGGTTTATAGTGAGAATGAAAACAGTAATTAGATCACTACTTATGCATTTAACCACCAGCACTCAAGATCACTAATATATCTCTTACTCATAATTTCCATTTCTCTTCAGAACAGATAGCTTTTATTTTGTTTTCATTGTAACAGCCATACTTTAGGCTCTACTTCTACACCCCCACCCGAAAATCATAATAGACTTTCCAGATGTGTTTCTTGAGTAGAGTAAGTTGAGAGAAAACCTTTCATGGCTGCCTCAGCCCTGGAGGGGAAGGTCACTGACACCACTGAACCTGGAGATTCTGTGGCATAGAGGGAAGCACCACCACAGAAGCTGCCTGCAAAATAGACCAGAATGGGACTCTTCCCTTTTTCTCTTGAGGGCTGTAAGTCATAGTATTTCAAAATGCAGTGTCAGAAAAGATTCCTGTTCTAAAGTCCCCTTAACACAAAATCCTGATGTCATTCAGCTTTGAATTCACACGTTAGACTACAGACATGGCCAGAAGATAGCTTGCTATAGTTGTAATCAAATAGGAACCTTCTTCAGACAAATAAAGACACCCATCATAACCACTACAAATCACTAGTGGCAAGTGCCCACTGACTGGACTACTCTGGTGAAACGCTGGGGTTTCAACCCCAAGCCCTAAATTAAGGTTGACATATGGATGATTCCCACAGCCCTTCACAAAGGGGGGGGTGAGTTTTCCTTTAATCTTCCCTCCAGGGTGCTCCGGCCTGGCAGACAGAGCCATTGGGTAAATGAGCCCCAGGTGTCCCGCATTAAGTAACCAAAGGTCAGGTGTCCCACTTGGGGATAAAAGCTGGGACTCCTTGCAGGCGGGGCAGTGTCTGTCTGAGGTGGATGCACTTTGCAGAGTTCTCTGTTGGGGAAGGACCTCCTGCCTCCCTGGGACTGGGCTCCAGTCAGGTCTGGCTTTTGTAAATGTGGGCTGTGTAAAGATTCAGTATGTGGCTTCCTTGGTCTTATGTATTTGGTTTGTTGACTCAGTTGTCTCCTGTCCCTTCTATGGCAGACTGCATTTCACCATTTGTTCCAACCATTGTTGGTTGTGGGGTGTCATTGTTGGGGTCAGTGGGATTGATGTCAATTATGTATAATCTGACTTGTTTGTACCCCCAGCGCTCACCCCTGTACTGACCCTTTTGTATCAAATACAATTTGGTTATTGGTTCATCTTTATGCTGGCTGTGTCCTTTATGCTAGGCCTCATAATTGGCAAAACATCTGGGCAGAAGAAATCCCTGCTCTGACAGGCAGCCCATGCCTCAGGCTCCTTAGTGCAAGACACTATGCAATGTTCACAAGACTGAGGACATGCGTATTCTCTGGGGAGTAAGTCACTTTGAGAGTCTCACATAACTGAGACCTGACACTGAAGAATCTTGTATCTGTAAGTGCTTTAACAGTTTAAGTTTCCAGTCTATGCTTTCCCTTCAACATACAGGAGATACTTGCACAACTTCACTTCCCCAGCAATGTCCTACATAATCAAGCCAATATCTCCTTAGGCAGGGTGGGTAGGTACTTCCCCTTGCATAGGAGGGCAGTAGGAAAATCTTCCCTTCCCTTGGCCCCATCACTTTGACCTGCTGCCTTGTCTTTAGCACACAGCTTTGGACACACGCAGCAAGTTGTCATGCTGCAAGTTCAAGTCTGGGAAAGAGAAACCTAGACAGACTCACATTGTTCCAAGGCACAGCCATGCCATGATTAGGACCTCGTATCCAATACGTTTGATTGCAAAAGTATTTCTAGGAAGGGAAAGATACTGAGCTAGCTGAAGTAGCTCCAAGTATTATCAGAAATCCCTCCTGGAGCATGGAAATGTGCCATGTAAAACTCCCTTGTCTATCTGCGAAAGAAACTTAGTTCAGCTCCTCTGTTTCTCTCACCCTGACATTAAGGTGAGCTCTCTCTTACCTATTAACATTTTGGTTAGTCTGAATCCTTCGTACACCATTAGTTAGCAATGACAATTAGACAGATTTCTTTCAGTCTATAAGTTCAGGACTCCAAGCTGAATAATGGATTTTAATGGGACTACAATTCTCCAGTGGCAGCTGCAGCACAAGGCAAAGAACAAAGTCACAATGCCAGCATATTTTACAATTGGATCTTATTTCCTAGGGATAGCTATCAAAATGTGAGCAAAGGCAAAAGGGATTGTAATGCCCATTAAAAAGAGAAAAGGAAAAAAAAAATCAAAAGTGGGATACTGGTCCAAATCTATTTTGGTAATATTATTCATTACTTTTGAAGTTAAGCTTACAAATGGTTTAGAAGTCTGTGCTGTTGCCACGTGAATGGAAAGTTATCTCTTACCCTAACTAAGCATGATAAGGGAAGAAGAAAAGGAAACAGATGAAAGTGCCAGAAGGTTTTTAGTGGTATAGTTTAGCACTGCCATTGTTAACCCCTCAGTTACATCTCTGACATGTTTTATGATGACAGGTTTGCCCAGAAGAGTCAGATTTGTCTGCTGTTTTTTGGAAAGAAGGTACTGGTACTTCTCAGCTTTCCTAACTCTCCTTGATGAACTTGCTCAGTTTTCTAACATGTACTGATGTACATATGGAGTCATTAAAAACCACACTGCATATATTTTCAAATTTTCATGTGGAAGTTGCAAAAGCCGGGAGAACTCGGGTTCTCACCTGGTGGCATTTGCGGTTTCCCAGTGTGTTGGCATAAGCCCTGCCGGGACCGGAGATCACGTTGCCATTGTCCCTCCCCCACCCTCAGACACAAGTAGGGCACAAACCCTGGGTTAAAATAAGAAGATTTAATATAACAGTATAATAAATCTGAAAAACAATAGTAGCAATGATAACAACAATAAACAGTAATAACAGTAAACAAGACAAAAGATATACAAAGAAATACCACAATGGTTACGGAACAAGCCCGCCGTGTGCTTCCCGCCACCAAAGCCACAAAGCAAAAAGGTTCCGTGCTCCCGCACCAGACCTGACGTCAGCATGGTATGAATAACCCGGCTGGAGATCCCTTCCCCCTCTCTGCTGGGGAAACTTAACCCTATCCTAGCTGAACCAGGACGCTCAGTGACTGGATCATTCCTTCCTGATCTACAAGGATGACACCCATGCATTGTGACAACTCTGATCTCACCTCCTTAGGATTTTTTGGGGGCATTTCCAGGTTTTTGTCCTGGAATTAAGAACATGGAGCATTAAATTCAGCTTCAGTATTAGGTTTTAGATGGACTTTCACCAGGAACTAGGGCAATTCTTATAGGACATCACCCCCATGGAAAAGCATGGATCATGGATAAGAGCCAATCTGAAGAGCAGAACCTTGGAATACTCATTTTAAAAGTCCATCTGAAAAACGAGGTGTTCAATTAGAGGACAAAACAATTAGAAAATCTCCTACGTTCCTATTCTGCCAGGCCAGACCTTGGTCATCATAAGCCTATAAAACTCAAACTCACCTTAGCCTTGTTTCCAGCTTCAGCATTTTACATATCAGTCAGTTTTATCCAGACTAGAGCTTCAGAGAGTTGTCTTTTCATATGTCTGGTGAACATCTGTATGTAAAGTCTCTAGAAAGCCCATAAAGGCATCTTGAAAAGAAGTACATTCTTGAAGCTTCGATCAAACAGATCAGTTCATCTTCAGAGAGAAGTGGTTGTACAGCTTGGACCCCAAGCATCAAGTAGTGAGTGATGAAAGCAGCAGGGCCAATGGAGCAGAGCACCATCTTTACCATAGATCCACATCTCTGGAGAACCACAGGAGACTGCACAATACTGCATAGCACAGCTAGAAGCAAATCCAAGCACACCACCACCACTGTAAAAACACCATTTGAGAAATGTAGGCAAAATCATAGAATGGTTTGGATTGGAAGGGACCTTAAAGGTCATCTAGTTTCAGCCCCCCTGCCATGGGCTCTTGCCACTAGACCAGGTTGCTCAAAGTCCCATCCAACTTAGCCTTGAGTACCTCCAGGGAGGGGGCATCCACAGCTTCCGTGGGCGACCTGTGCCAGGGCATCACCACCCTCATAGTGAAGAAATAAAGTCATACAAGTTACTCTGTGGAAAGGTAGACAACTGAGGAATTATTCACATTTGAGAGATGTTCAATGCTGGTAACGTGGCTGCTAGGCAGTCACCTTCTGACGAGGCAGCAGGCAGCACCTCATCCCTGTCCTGCAAGAAGTTCCCTACTACTGGCCAGGAAGGATTTGTTCAGTTCATTGCACAGTATCGGCTGCCTCAAGTCTACTTATGAGTCTAGGCATTTTGTTTGCTTTATTTGTCCTGAAAAATTGTTGACTACTTAGGGGTTCATTCTTGGACTTAAACTGAAAGTGGAATGAGACAGGACATGGAATTTTTGCCATTACTCCACCTCCACTGATAGGTACTTTCAGTTGTTAAGCATGCTAAATTGTTTTTGAGTTACTTTCTGGCTCTGGATTTTCCATCCTCTTTCTCCCCTGTCATACCATCATCCTAAAGTTCTAGCTCATGTTGACATAAAGCTCAAGTCTATGTTTTAGGGTCCTCAGAAAAAGTAATTTGGTTTAGAGACAGGTACCCACTGACTTCTGTTGTTCACTGGCTCTAGAGAAAGAGGGGTAAAAAAGAAAACATGCTGTTTCAATATGTTGGCATATAAATAGATGTAGGAATCTAGTTTAATATACCCAACCTTGAAAAACTGCCAGCCATAACAAATGCTATTACATAGCAGTGAGTCTGTGTGCTGGAGGACACTCCAGGGAGCTATCTATTAGACCCCTATTCAGGGAAGAGTTTGACTGATGGCCTCATTTCTGATAGTATTTTCTTCTGTCCTGCATATAAACATATAAACTGTTATTCTCAACTGTAACAGACATACTTTTAGAAATATTTTGTGTTCTTTTATAAATAAAATCTTCAAGTAAGAGAGCTGTGAAGTGCTCTAAGAGCTCCTTAAGCACATCTTCTATCCTTCTCCTCTCCTGTCCTTTCACTACCAACTCCAAGTTAACTGACATGCTAAACAATTGGGTAGGTGCTAGTTTTTTTCTTAATGAAAAAAAACATTCCTAGTGCATGCCATTACCCTAAAGGTCTTTGCCTGGAAGCATTACTACTGTATAGGTTAACAAAAGAGTGTTCTTGTTCAAGTGTCAGGAAAAAACAGTTTATTTCCCTTATATGAGAGCTATGATGCCCTCATCTACACCCAGAGAGAAGTTAAATAGGACCTCTTCTCTACAGCATTAGCCATCACAACTGGTGTGTGGATGTAAGAGGATGAGGGTCTAACACAGAATAGCTATTATCCAAAAACTTTCTCCAGAGGCATCACTAAATTTTGAAAGCATTTGGAGAACACATACACTAGAACTCACCAACAGGACTCCCAAAGGCTGATGGTGGATTTCTCCACCACATTTTTGTCTACAAGGATGTCAATGTGTCAAGGATGCCTACCTAGGAGAAATGCTTCAGTATAACTAGTTCATAACATCTGTAATCACAATAAATTAAAACTATACATAGCTAAAAAAAAAAGAATATGAGAGAGGGGAAGAAAAAAAACACACTGAAGAGCTGGGAGGGGGTGGTGAGAGAAGGAACATCATAGGTCAGAGATCCTTCAGCACACCCAATAAAACCTCTGCAAGATCTAGCCTTCATGAGTTTTCCCCCACTCCTTTCCTATTACTTCCCCCCTCTCCTTTTCCATTTTGTGCCAACAAGTTCTAATTAATTATTTTGCTTTCAAGTTGCTGTCTGATACTTCCCTTGTCCCTGCTCCCTACCTTGCAAAAATTAGTGACTGAGCATTCCTTAGTCACCTTTCTGTGCAATTCATAGCGGTCTGTGAAGCTGTTGCACTTCTCCATTGTCTTTTCCAGCCTGTTGAGACTGTTGAGTCTCTCCCAGTAGAGACTCAGACTGACCCCTGGATGCCTGTCATGCTCCTCTGTACTTCTAAATCCTTTTCAGAATGACTGTGTGCAGGAGGGGGAAGAAGTGAATCAAACCCACTCACGGTATTAAAAGAATTGGTTCTTTAGGTTTGTACAGTAAAGCGTGTTTTATTCTTTACCCCTTCAGACATTGACACCTTGTTCTGTATTTTTCATGGCTACTAATTGCTCCAGTGAAGCTACAGTATTTCAGTGATAGTAGCTAAATTAAAGCCTGTCACTTGTGTACATAAAGGCATGGGTATTCTTCCTTCTGTCCCAAGACTTCAGTGCAGTGAAGGTAGAAATTTATTTTCTTTATATATAAAAGAGCTTATATACACATCTTGTACAGCAAACAAGTTGGCATTTTGCGGGAGAGCTGAGCACGCACACAACCAATGTGATCAAGCAATGCCCGTTTATTACAACTAATTCAGCCCTTTTATAATGTTCTCCCGCACACGTGAGTAACATGCAGTACAAGTCCTCAAGATTGGACAGTCAACTTAGCCCGCGCTTTGAACCTTCTTATGATTGGATAAAAGTGCCACATCAGCCTTGCCAGGCTTCCTGCCTTGTGGAACTTCCTCTTACGTCCCCCCTCATTCAGGGTCACATCCTTATGGCATTCTTGCTCGGCTGAGGCTCTTATCACTCTTGTTCTCACGCAGGATTGCTCACATGTCCATTCTCTCGCAGAAAGCCCTCTTGAATCCCAACAGGCATTTGACTTGCCATTTTAAATGGATGTAGATTTTACTGCCCTGCATCTTCTCTCTTCCACTTTTTCACCTTCCTCTTTCCCCTACTCTATGTACAGAGCCTTTAAAACAGGAGATGACGAGCAAGGTACCTTGACATGCTTTTGCCACACTTCCAACTAGATTTTTACTTAACTGCACGGTGTGCAGTACACACACAGACATATAGGCCTCTAGAAACTTAAACTTCCCTGTAAACAACATTAAAGCTCTCATTTTCATTTAATTTAGCTTTCTTTCAATTCTGTGGGTTGTGTTCATCTAGACTAGCATCTCAGTGATTTGACTGCACCTCAGCAGGGTCAAAGTGAGGCAGACCATAGCTTTCTGCATTGAGGAAAATATAGTTTCTGGTATAGTCCTACCCCTCTTTCCCAGATGGTAATGCTTCAGTGTCATTCACTCCACCTCCAAGGCAAATAATAGGTACTGTACCATCATTGCATCTCATGTCATTGTCTCAGTGGCTATAGAGTAAGGGGAGGTGACTTTGAAAAAGCAGCTGCAGATACATGTCACTTATATAGACAGGTGTCCATAAGGGCTTGTCCAAATACTGCAGCTTATTTCTATATAGTCTCTTTTACCATTCTGTAGTGTACCAAGAGGGCTGTTCTTCTACTGGGTTTTGCAGCACACTGACCAGGGATTAAGGTCTTCAACCAAGTTTACAGCCTGGGCTCTGAAGCTTAACTTAAGATTGTCATATATCGGAGCCACGTAACTGGGGCTGGAAACCCTTTCTGAAACTGGCCCAAGTTGAAGTGAGAAATTTCTAGGGCTGAGTGTCCTCAGATGGATTGTTTGTTGTTACCTAGCACTCCTCTCTGGCTCTCTTCATAAATTCCATGAAACTTGTCTTGGCAGTTCAGCAATGATGTTATTGACAGATGCTTTACTGTAATCTTTGCCATGCCCTTTGGAGACAGTCGGAGTACTGAAGAGCACTCTGTGCTTTCCACATATCCTGATGAAGAAGCAGCAAAGATAAACCCCCAGGGCTCTTCTAACTCCACTTCTGATGTTCATTCTGTGGATAAATGTGTACTTCAGTGATAAAAGCATTAAGAAAAGACAATAAGAGCTTTCTACAAAGCCTGCCCATTCTGCCCATGATTGAAGATAGTCTAGCAGGTCAATAAAGTTACTGGGAAACAGTTTTGTAAATTTTTTTTTTTTTTTAAACCTGTTTCCCCTCTGCCCCAGTATGACTGGACTTGTTGGAAATCTGAATATCCCAATATCACTGGCAAGAACAGAGCTACTGCAGCCACTGGAAAGGCCAAAATGAATGGATCTGCTAAAAATCTTAACTCTACACAGGGCAGAGATATATATATATATATAACATCTGTTCCTATCAGTTGGATCATTTCTTAGGGTCCAGCGTGCAGGCTGGTATAAGCCTGCAGAAATTCTCAAAGTGTACGTGGGCACAAGGTAGCCCTGTTGCCTTAGTCTTGGAGACCCAGGCAGCAGACACAAGCTAGGCGGCATAAAGGAGTGAGCTGCCAGGCTTTAGGGGAAGGCAGACTTGCTTGCAAATTTGCTCTGAGCTGTGCTTTGAATCAGTGTCTGGGAAACAGATAAACAGATACTAGGTTGGCCAAGTACCTGGGCTAACAGGCCTACCCACCTCAAATACCCACTACTGAGGAATAAGTGTAATTTTTTTTTAAAATGGATATTATGAGCAGCCCTTGACAAGAAATATGAAATATAATGCTTTTGTCTATGCATTCTCCAGAAACACAGGGAGAGAGCAGGCTTAGTTAGCATGTAGCTGCATGCACACACAGTGCAGTCAGATTCAACACTTGTTAAATAAGAAACCAAATCAACAGGGAAATACTTGGAAGTATCTGAGTAGTTATAACAGAGCAGGAGGAGAGAAAACAAGATCACTAATGACAACTGTATATCCCTTTAGTACCAAGCATAATAGGGTTGTTTGCCTCCCAAGGCAGCAGTTTTTAAAGTCATACCCTCTGTAGAGAAGCTTAAATTCTGTTTAAGTGTGCTTCTTCCCACACCAATGTTTATGAGCTTTCTGCTCAGATTGGATGCTGGCACCACACCATGTCTCCGTGTACCTGCACAGGATGCCGAGAGCACAGTGCAGGGAGAGCTGAGCCTTTCTGCTGGGTAGAAATCCTTCAAATCCAGAAGGGAGAGGGGGAACGTATGCTTCCTGAGGAAGGTGCTGCAGTGTGAACAGCACTGCACAGCAGCAGCACTTGTCAGAGGGCACACACAGGGAAGCGTGACCCACAGTGGAAGAGAGCCCAGCCAAGCTGAGTTATGGGGAGGGGACACTTTCTCCAGGAGAGCTAGCCTTTCTAGCCTCTTCTACCACAGTCTAAGTTGCACAAGGGCAAGACAAGGGCACTTGAACGTACTCAGCACTGTAGGAGGATGCAGGCTCTGTGCTTGCAGTGGGGGACAGCAGGGAATGGCAGTGCAGGTGTAGGTACAGTAGTCTCGAAGGCAGTAAAGCCCTGCAGGCTGAGCCACAAGGTTAATTTTTAAAATCGTTTTTGCATTCAGGGTGATAACCCAGTTGAGGTAATTACAGCACCATGCGCTTGCTGTGACTTTGAGCTCACCCAGCAATGAGCAGCTCAGCCCAGACAAGCCCGCTCCAGTGCTGGCAAGAGCCTTACATGTTTCCAGCCCCTGCTAACCAGCCCTGGAGCTGCTGTGCTAATGATGCCCCCAGTCGCTGGCTGTGCTGCGCTTTCCCGAGGAGAGAAAGCAGCCCTACCTCCTGTTGCTTATCACTTTGGGGGACCTATTTTTATCTCAGTGGTGTGATGACTTGGAGCACCAGCAAGGATACCAATGGGAAGAGGAGGAAGGCACACACTGCATGCCAACACCCTGGCTACAGCACAAGACTGCAGTCAGAGCTGGTAGCACGTCCCCTCCTGTACAGTTTGCTTTTTAAAGCCGTGAGCAACAGCATTCTACAATTTGTTGCCAGAGCTCATGTCAGCCATTAACTCAGGACTACTTTAGCCTTTTTATCAGTCTTTCTGCAACACTGTCACGGGATCAGAGGTGGAGAAACATTTAAATGCTTAATAAGCAGGAGGCACATCAGTAGGGCAATGCTGTTTGCTGTGCTTTAAAAGCAGAAGAAGGCACACAGAGTGCCTCACCCAAGACCACATCTCTGGTTATGCTAAGTACATGCGTAAGAGAACAAGTAACTGACCCTGCCCAGCGAAACTCAGTCTAAAACATGGGAGATAAAAACCCATAAAACAATACCTCATTCCAAGTATGGTGAGTGAGAGCTACAGCAGATCAAGTAACATAACTCAAGTGCACAGGAAACCTGCATCGTTAGTGTTCATGGCCCCCTTCTTCCTCCACGTGAGCCCACTGCTTCTAGCTACAACAGTCTTTCTTCCCTTGGCTCTGCTCTCCGGCCTCCTTCCCTCCCCTTTCCCTGTGTGTACACACACACTCTTCCCAGGACAAAATGCAGAAAGCTGTGTTCGCTTGCACCAGGACATTAGGAGACTCAGACTTGTTACCAGTCTCTACACAGAATTGCTCCTAAACTGAACCAGCTCAACCACCTTCTGCAAACCAAGTGCTGCAGCCTCTGGCACACAAGAGCTCCGCGTGGCTCTGCAGTTACCCTGCATGCATGCCTGCCCCGCTAGCAATGTGGGCAGCTTCGATGGCTGCTCCTGTGCTGAGATCTCTGGTGCACTGCCACTTCACCACAGCAAGCTCTGTTCAGCATCTGAGGAGAGGTAGAGCATGCTTACAGACAGTTTAATACAAAACTCAGAAGCAATCAGTATGGCCAAGCCCTTCCTGCAATAGGAAGGCAATCATATGGAGGTCAGGTAAAGGAGCCAATGGTCATATCTTGTTCAAAGAGCCCTCAGGGCTTTGAACCTTTTGTATGAATCCATATGTAAAAGCTGTCTGCAATACTACAGCCTCCATCTCTAGGAAAGGTTTACAGGTACAGAGCTGAGCAACTCCCTGCATAAACTGCCTGACCTACAGTAAATCCATGAAAGCCATTACAGCCTTCAGAGAGTCAGTGGTCAGCAGTCAGTTGTGTCAGATCCAAGGGTATGGAAGATCTCCAGCCAGCTCCCGGCTTATCTGTGGGGATGGTCTGGCTACCATATGAGTGGTGACTGTTTTTATTAACTGGGTTTAGTTTAGAATAAAGTTCTCCCTTAGTCAGCACCTGTACTAATATTTCTGTTAGGTCAGTGTGGGACTATGAATGACACAAGGAAGAAAGACTGGCAGCTGCAGCACAAAGCAGGAGAGTCCAAGTGGTCATCTGACCTGAGAGTGGAGCATTATCCACAACATGCTCTTTTCTTTAATATATACTTTAATTTCCTGCTCATAAGTGCAGCACACTTTATTCAGGATACAGGAAAAAAAATATTCCTGTTAGGAGAAGTCCTCCATTTTCTGCTGGCAGCAATAGAAAAAAATACAGGATGGGCAGAAACATGAAAACTCTGTCCAGGATGAGCTCTTTCTTCTTTCTCAAGAAATGCTGTGGGACAATCACAGCCATTCACCAAATGGGGAATTACATACTTGGCTGTACATGTGCACATGCAGGGAAGGAGGAGGGATAAAGTTCTGTAAGACAAATGTTTTGCATCAGCAGTTTCCCTGTGCCACTAGTTTGAGCCAAAGTGAAACATTTCTTTAGAATCAGTTTATTCAACATGGAAAAGAGACTTGAAGCTATCTGGTGCCTCTTTAAAATCTCTCAAATCCCATCAGATTAAACAAATTGAAGTGGTGGATTTCTCCATTTGTCAATGAAACTATGAAGCCAAATTCACCTTGACTTGAGGAGCCTCAACAAGAAAGAAACTTCAGGGAAAGAAGAATAGCGCAAGCTGATAAGGGAAGCAATATGACAAAGCTGGGTTCACACGGAACACCTCAAACAGGTTTGTTCCCCTCAATTCCCTGCACAAAAGCGACCCCAGTTTAAGAACAAGGGCTTCTTCCTTTTGTAAAATACCCATCACTTTCAGGTGATCAGTCGTTATTCACTAGTAGATGTTAGTCTTTCTCTAGCACATTCTATGGAGAAATTTATCCCGCAGACTTCTGAGTGTGGTGTTCATTATAGTTAGATACACACACGCAAGTTCCGTTTACAGCATTGTCCCAATCTGTTCTGCCCTTGGAGACATGGGGGTGGTAGGCATTTTCACAAGAAGATGCTTTTTACTGAGAAAAGTATCTGTCCAAAAATTATATTCAATTTGTGAGTCAGAAGTGTTAAATACAAGTCTTATGATTCTGAAACTCACATTCTAATTTCCAGTAAGCTTTGTTTAGGGGGAAGACATAAGGAAGGAGAGGAAGAGGAGACTTGTTTCAGGAAGAAACCTGGATTTTTTTTTTCTTTCTTTTTAAGTTGCCTCAAAAACTCTACCAGACAAAACTTCAATGCACTTGGGATATTTTATACAAAGGGATTATAATCATGACTCGTCTCACTTAGGCAAGGATAATTCACCTTTCATCAACAATCTTATCCAGTCCAAGAAAATCCTCACTCTTGAATAGACTCCTGCTTTCTTTGGACTGGCAAAGCCAACACCCCGGCGGACAATACCATAAAGACTAAAATGGTCCATTTTCCTTGTTACAAACCAAGGGGGCACCAGAGCCACCCTAGGAACCAACAGAGAGAGGGCTCACAGTTATCTTGTTTGGCCTCCACACTGCTGCAGCTATGAGAGCTGCTGCAGATCAGATTTGCTGAAAAAGAAAAAGTCTCTGTGCAAGAACAAGACATGCAGCTGCTAGTGCAACTCAGCCCTAGCTTGGAATGAAGAGACTGATTTAAAGGCTTGCTTATCAGCGTGAAGACTGAGCACAGGCTGCAGACAAAATATGATTGAATAGTGCTCTTTAGTGTTACACATAATTTATTCATCTGCCATAAGATTGTGGTATTGAGCAGAACCCACAATTTAGCTTGACAGTGCCTCAGTCAGAATTACTTTGCCTTTTATTTACTGGGCTGTTCTTACCTTCTTGCCTCATGACTTTAGGGAGATTAGTTAGTTCTGTAACAGTGCTCTGAATACAAGAGTTTTATAAAAACAATAGAAGTCATCAGACTTTATCTTGACAAAAAGTGCCATGAAAAAGAGTTCCAAGCAAGCTACAATGGGAAGTTCTTCACTGGTATAAGAGATGGGACTTGGGAAGTGCAAGGGAAGAACATCTTCTCCTCACAGGTCTCATGAAAATTGCAGTTCAGAGAAAGATTATTAAACTCTGTGGTCCCCCTTACAAGCAATACTGCACATTGTCTCTATCTCCCATACAGACTGACTGCATCTATTGCTCTTATAAGTACTGTGCACTCCAGGGACACCAAGTTGTTGGAGTTTTTAACTCTCACTTGCTATATGCTGTTCTCCCCTCTGTCTTCCCCAGTCCCTTCCTCCAGACGATCTACCAGCATCCATATGCAGACACCTTCAAGAGCACTCACCTTTCATTTTGCCTTACCTGACAGGAGTCCTGGCCTCCCACAGAAACAAACCCAGCACAAAGCATCCTGGCTGTGATCCCTCCAGTGTGGCTGAAGTAGTAATTCCTTTCACAGATTTCATTCTGAAGTACAGGCGTTTGTGTTTGCTGCAACCACCTAGCTCATCTCCCATCTGTTAGGGAAATAAATTTAAGGTTAGCTCTGGGCAGAAGAATAAAATATGAGATTGTGATGTATATTCTGCTCACAACAGACAAACACGCAAAATCAGAAGACCCACTTTCAATGATCCCCCATCTAGATGCAGTGCATAGGGAAGAGGAAAATAATGTCTCTGAGCTGCTGGGCAGACACACTGGCCTCAAGAGTATTGTACTCCAGCAAGACATCTAGCTGCACTAGGGCGATTTCAGAGACATAGTTCAGCATGTTGAAGTGTGGATGCACCATGATGGTTTTCACCTGTCTCACTTGTGACCAGGGCAGATGGGTCAGGACAGAGAAGGAACAAGTTGCCCTCTAAGTGCACCCTGAAAGCATATTTGTAAAGGAAGAGGGGAAAAAAAATCCCACAAGCAATGTCCAAGCTCAAAATAGGTCATGAAAAGAAACAAACAAGGTGTTAGGACTTTGAAGACAAATCCCCAGCTTCTCTGTTTTTCAGTTGAGAAGACTGTTGGGATGGATTATATAGACCTCTTAGAGTGAAGGCTGACTGCTTCATTGTGCAAACACAAGCCACTGAAGTTTTGCAGAAGGCGGGTGTGAGTCAGCTGTGCTTCTTTTCCACATGTATTTCTTCCTCCTCACCATTAGGAAGGAAGAATCAACAAGCTTTTTATAGACAGATCTATTGCTAAGCACCAAGAGAATAAGATGCTAAGGACACTCAGTCATCTCTGTTAGATTTTAAGTCTTTTTACTCCTAGTAATAAGAACCAGATATAAAACATACTTCTATAAACTGCAAGTTAGCCAAATACTGGATTTCCTTTCTCATTCCTTAACCTGTGCTAACCTGTACCAAAATCAGTCATTTTGCCTTGCTGTCAACACTGTTTTATCTGTGCATATAGGTCTGGTTTGAGAAATACTGTAGGCGCAAATACACCAAATTCAACATTCTTAATGGCATTGCTTGGTTTTTACCTGTTCTGTTGACTCTCTCAGGGCTCTGTCATGGTCTCATACTGTCACAGTCCAGTGCGAGGGTTTATTGGATCTGTATATTAAGGCAAACATATTGGAGCTCCTTACAGTCGGCCATACAGTCTCCTTATTCAGCAGTCATACATCCCTTCTGGCTCTTCTCTAATTAGTCACTTATTCCCATGACTGCTGAGCAAGAGCTTTGCACCATGACAAATATGTTGCATCAGTTCTGGCTTTGCTACAGCTCTGATAGAAGATAGTCCAATTAACTTCAATGGATCTCCTACAAGCAAGACCAAACTGTTTCCATTTCTAAAATCAATGATCATAGAGGAAGGGCAGAAAGCAGGTTTCATAGAAGACAAGAAGGTGTGAATGTAATTTATAGCTCTCCAGCTGTTTTCACCCCATCCTGGAGGAGCAGGGGGAGCACACAGCCTGGGGAGAAGAGCAGAGGTGGCCTGGGGACATGCTGGTCACACACAGCTGCACACAGTGGGTGGCTGTCAGCAGCCACATAGAGCTGATGACAGCCCCATCGCACTAGTAGTCTCCAGTGAGCTTCAGGGCAGCATGCCATGGCCAACAGTGAGGACAAGCCTTCTCAGCTCCACTAACACACTTGAACAGCCACTGGGGAGTAACTGGGGGAAAGCCACAGGTGTCTGCAAGAGAGCCAGAAAACTTGTCATACTTTCACAGGCAAGTTCCTTGTTTTCCTAGATAACATCACAGTGGATATAGCAAGGCCAAAGACATGGGACAGAAATCTGTCTGATTTGTCTGGAAGTGGTGGGGGAAGGAAAAACATATACATGAAATCTCAGATCCTAAGGAGGTACTTCAGAGAGCAAACAAGGCTCTGGCACTGAAAGCAGGTCTCTCCCATCCTCTACCCTGTGTCTTTGCTCCCAATAGTAAGTGCATGCAACCAGAATGGAGAGGACATACCACAAGTGTGGAGAATGAGAGATGGGGCACCTGCCTATCACTTTTCATCCATGCAAGAAGTGCACAAAAGGGGACCTGAGGTCAGAAAGAATCTGCCTCAATGCATAATCCTCTTATATGTTTGAAGAAAGCTCCTCAGACCAGATCAACTGAGCAGATTTTAATTTCTTTACCTAAGGGGACATCCTTCCAGGACAACATCAGTGTAGTAGTTAATCCTGAATCTTCTCTTCCTGCCTCCTCTGCAAGAAAGGAAATAAGAGCTAGCTCCATCTTGGGTCAATAGCTCTGGCTTACCCCCTCAAAAAAGTCCTCACTCTGGAAGGTAAAAGTTATTCATCCCCTTACACAGCATCTGGCACACACTCATGAAAGCAGAAAGCAACAATAGCAGAATAGCCCCCAGGATCAAGACTCTCCTCTATAATGAGATTCAAGAGGAATATCAGACTGACAGAATTAACAAGGCTGATTGTTTCAGGTTACAAAAGTTAGTCATCTCATTTCTCAGTGAGAAAAAAGCCCTTAACTTGATTCATCTCCTTTATTCAGGGAAGGCAGCTCTGCCACAAGTAGCTATTCTGTTTTAAAGTTACCTTGACAGAATGCAGTAAGATTAGCCTAAAAAATAAACTCAGGTGTGTAAGAATAGCTGCAGATAATGTGGACATTGTTAGACACAGCAAGCTTCTCTCTACTAACCTGAACAGAAAAAAGTGAGCTGAGCTTTGGGACCTCTCTCCCCATCACTTTCAAAATGTACCAGTATGGTGTTCCCTGGACTCAGCACTGGTTTGGGATTTGAGAATCCACAGAGATTAGCTGTGGAAATGAACAAGAAGCTGTATTACTAAAATGAGAAATGTCATCCTGTAAGAACTTGTGGCTTTAGCTAATCTAGATTTCTAAAAAACCCAAACCCTAGAGTCTTGGTGACCTTCTGATTAAAGCAAGAACTTTTGCAGAAGTGGTGCCTGCAAGGCAATGTTAACCAGTGACATCAGTAAGCAACAGCAGCCAGAATTAGTCTACTACATTTATGATATAGGTACACAAAAGTAAATCCTAATTTTCTCATAGTGGAATTACAAGGAATCTTCAAACACTGTGAATGCCCTCCGTTGCACAAACAAACCCCACTTTTGAGAATTTGCCACCACTGAGGGGTGGAAGCAAAGCCTCTAATGAATGGTCTAGATATACAGATTGAGGATGTAGAGAACAGCTGCTAGACTTTTCTTCTTCCTATTGAGAGGACTCAGTTTGCATAGCATCTCAAAATCCCATAACTGCAGCTGTATAGGATGCTTGCACTTTATTCCAAAGGAGCTTTCCTGTAAGAATCTGAATTTCCGATGGCAAGGCTGTGCTGGAAAGCACTGAGTGAAATGCTCTGGGATGCTGACAGCTCTCCCCTGAAAAATTCCAGATCCAAATTTGTCAGCCTTCTTTCCCCCACTTAAATACTCCTTTCCAATGGAAACCAGATTTCTTTTCAAGAGAATTGTAGGGTTAATATTTATTCAGCATTTGGTAAACACATACAACTAAATTACCACTCTGAAATAGATGGGGAAAAAATAGAAGCATCTTACCAAAGATCACTTGTCATTGGTGAACACAGGACAGTTCAAGTTTCTCACCCAACTTATTTCGAGTAAAGGAAAGAGCTCCAGCCCCTCATCACTCTATTCTGTCTTTGTTGACATACAGGCCTGTAAAGAGGTAGCCATAATTCAATTCAAATGTCTTCACTTCTGAGCATGAGATTGCTTTTCACCTTAAGAATAGATATCGAGCTCTGCTAAAGTAAGTGTGTTGCCTGGAAGTTGTTTCTTTAAAAAAGCTGCAGTGTTACAACATGCTTTCATTTCACCCAAGTAGGAGGAACACCTGGAAATACAGATGTTCAAAAAAAGGTAAGTTAAGAGACTTTATTTCAATAAAATTAAATATTTTTATATTGATAAAACTGAAGCAGATTTAAAGTGATAAATTAAAAAATATTTCCTTCTGAAAGTGTGGGAAAGCAATGCCTGTGGTTAGAAATTTTTCATTGATGAATTTCCAGCAGAAATAGTTCAATTCATAAAGAATTCATATCCATTTCAGTGGAATTAGTCACTCATTGATGACTGATCTTTTGCTCTGCCTTACTTTGAACATTTGTCTTCTTTAGTAACACTTAGATCAAAGTGGCTTTTGCTCTCTCATTTGATAGCGAGATGCAGAGTGGAGAATGATCTAGGAGCACAGACTCATGTGCTCTGCTGGCTCTGCAGCAGAACATGAGTCATAGTCCTATATCCAGCCCTGCAACAATTAGCAGGTTGCCCAGGAGAAAGCATGGCCTTGGACCAGAATGTGGGATCTCCTGTGCCAGTGGTGCACTTGGCGGCATCATGATGGGCACGACAGATGGGCAAGCCTCAAGACTACTGCAGAAGCCCTTACATTGCCTTTTCAGTGGTACCAAGTATCATGTTACAAGAGAGTATTCGGTTGATAAAACATACTTGTTTCCACAGGGTTTTCTAATTTTAGACTGAAACAATTAGTGCTAACTCAACTGGTTTTCTTCATCACCATAAAAAGTAACGGCATCATAAATGCATCCTGAGATAAGTTCCACAGCAAAGCCTTCAAACTCCAGCTGCAAAGAGGGAATCATCAAGACTGAAAGACGTACCCTTCTTAACAATGGGCAAGGGAAAAGTTAGATTTCAGAGGAATTTGAGCATCCATTGGTGAGTGTGTCACATTTTGCATCAAAACAGTCCGTTGGCAATCTTAGCCTGACTGCTCTTGTCTGTGCAGGGCTACAGACAGGTCTGCAGAGGATGAAGGTGGCCCTTAAGGGATTTCAACTGTCATCTTTAATGTAACACTCAATGTTCTGTACTTTTAAAGGGTCAGTGTCCCATATGGAGTACCCTTCCAATAGCTTTACCTCCAAGCAGGAGAGTGTGTGAGTTTTAATTTCTTTCTTTTGTTTTTAATCCAGACTGCAAGTTCTCACACCAACAGAACAGCAGCAACCCAATCAATAGGTCTGCATATGCTCAAGCATCCCTAGACTTAACACTCTTTTTCCACCCCTTAGCCAAGGCAGCAGGGGAGGAGAGATGTGGCTGCTTTGAACAATGTAAATGGCAACACAACTCATCATGGGCTGGGATGAGCTCGGTGGGATGCTTGCTGCACACAAGCAGCAACAGGCAATAAAAATAGAGATGCTGGTACTACGAGTGAGAACTATTATCAGACAGCCCATGCACAATGAGAAGCAGACACCTTGGTATAGGGCTAAGGAGTAGCTTGGGGGTTTTGACACTGCCTTGAGGAAAAGTCTGACTATACTGTTTGTAGCATGATCTCTACCTTCCCTTTACCCTTAAATATTTGTGCTAGACTTTTAAGATATAGCTGTTTTGAAATGAGATTGCAGCCTATAGACTTCAAGCACTTCAGTCACAGCCCTTCTGTACATGAGTTCGGGGGTGATATCTAATTGACAAAATATGCCCTGCAAAGAATCAGTGACCTGGAAACCTTACAGTTCACAGTCTTGCATGTCACAGATGTTTCTGGCAGGATTTTATTGAATCACTCCCCTGAACAGTTCTTAGTGCAGAGGTTTAAGTGCAGTTTCTCCTTTATTACCTTTACGACATACTCTGCCGGACCCTCAATGAACCAGTGGCACTTTGCGTTTCTGGGATACAAGCCAGGCTAATTAGCAGTATCAATCTTTCCCTCTTCCACTAACATTGTGACACTTCTTCAACCCAAGCCTGCAACACTCAGATGAGAAAGGAGATAATTTAACAGATGGGATTATATGGTACTGCTAATAAATCCAAATCAACAACTTGATTTTTAAGGAACCCAGGCACACTAAGTATAGTTGTTATTTTAAGGGGGTCAGGATGGAGAAGAAAGGCATTTCTACACCACAGAAAGGTCACCTGCTTCAGAATCCATATGGACACCCACGAAGGTGAGCTGAAAACCACCACCAGCATTGCTGCCATCAGAAACAAATGTAACAGTGGCCTGGTCCAACTATGCCAGCAGAGGGGCTGGGAAGACTTTCCCACAGGCTGTACCTGAGGGAGACAAGGAGTCAATGTAAGGGTGGGCTGAACATACGTTTGTTCAGGCAAATCTCACAGCTGGAGCCCATGGGGAAGGTCTTGTCTCACACTGAGCAGAGAGACTATTCAGCTTTCATTACCTATAAAACATGTAGGGGTGGTACAGAGAAATTGAGGAGATGGGGCTTCATCAAAAACAACCACATGAACAACCAAATATTCCTAGAAGATTAATTGCATGACTGGATTAACGTTATTACCAGCACATCACCATTAGTACTGTCAGAATGCAGAGGCAGCCAATATTTGCAGGAAATATTTATCCTCTATCAGTTCAGTATTAAGAACAGGCCACATTTCTTTGTCTCATCTGTGCAGTTAGTCAGTAATCTGCATGCTTGTTGTGCCATATAACCAATTTTGAACCAAGAAATAGCCAATCTTTGAGCTGTGTCTCCAACGCATATGATGCTGGCTGTGCTAACACATCGGAAACTCATCTGGACATGCACCAGCTAAGCAAGGCTAAGTACTCAACTTATTCTGCTACCCAGGGTCCATAGGAGTAAAACAGGTATATTGAAGACAAGGCAGAGGGGGCACAGAATTATGTAAGCTGAAAGATATTTTTGAGACACCCATCACACTACACTAGATGCCAGCACAAATATAAACATGTCCTTCAATCCCACCTGCCCCACTCTGTTTGGGTGTGTCACTAGCTCTTTAAATTCATAGTTTAAAACACAAAGGCTTCTCAAAATCCAGCTAGATTTGCTGTTCTTCATGACAACGAAGGACAAGAAACTATACCCAGTAACCCTCACTCCTCCAAGGCACCCAGACTCACTGATCAGCTCTCTTCCATTCAAATAGAGGGACACATAATCATGGTCATATCCCACTTGGTATTCTACATCTAATTTGGTGAAGCGTATGAAGATGATTTTGTCCTCTGGCACTTATATTCCAGGTGAACAGGCTAGAAGCAAGCAATAGTAAAGGCATGTACCTGCATGGCTGAGCTTAGCCCCCCTCAGTCCCACCGCAGGCTGGGAGTCTCCAGTGTCTGCTTTCCTGCAAGCATGTACCAGAAGCTAACAACTGATATCTAGCTCCACCTGGTAAATTTTATCATCTTCCTCCTTGGCATAAGCCATCTGGGAAGAGAGTTACCAATAGCAGAGGACTGCTGTGAATTTGCTCAGCACTAGGTGGGGACTGACGCTCTCTTTCAGCAGTGATAGCTTTGACACTGCCAGCCCAGTCCTTATTCCCCTACCTCCTGCAGGAGCTGAAAGCTTCTTTGTGTGAGCTGACATCGATACAGCCAGACCGAAGGATAAAAGGTAAAATAGTTCTTTAACCAGTCACAGACATTTCGTGAGTGTGGCTTGTACAGAATCTGTGTTACAAACAGACTTTGTGTTTTCCTGCCTTTCCCTGCAGTGCTGTACTGCCAAGCAAGCGTATCTGGAGATTTGCATTGCAGGGAAAACGCAACCACTGTCATCGGGATGCTGCAGGGAGTGGTGCCCAGGTCAGCGGTGGTCAGGGCTTCTGAGCCTGAAAAAAATTCAGTGTTTGGCTACTACAGCCAAACTATGGTTACCTGTTATCAGGGTAATTATCCTCCAAAGCCTGGGGGTACCAAATGTGGACACTTTCTCCAAAGAGCAGGGTACCTTGGGAACTGCACTCCACTGGTGCCAGGAGAGGGCTTGGCACAAAGCTAGGGAGAGAAAAGGGTTGTATGGGGTATTGCAGTACAGGCACTGTCAGTCAATTGGGCTACAGCACTGCAGTTGTTGCCAACACAAAGTGCTTGACATATAGCTGAGAGAAGCCTCAGATGAGAGCACACAGTTTCCTTCCCAGAGTCTTACTTAAAAATCCCCAAACTTTCAGGATTTGTCCCACTGATGCAGTGGGCTTGCATTTATTCAGCCTGCTAAGAGCTGACATGGCTACTCCAAGCTCATTTTTAATGAAGCACTGCGTTTATGTTGGCCTTCTCTTCATCTTCTATCGGGCATTTGGTCTGTGTGAATCCTGATAGCTCTGCTTTGCAAAGGGTAATGCACCCGTTTTGTAGCCATGTGGCTTCTGCTCCTTGCACTGCTCCCAATTAAGGAGCACCTTCTTAGCTGCACAGTTCCCCTTTGAAAGCACAGTCATTAAGGATCCCTAGCAAATCTGTAATAGGTTGGGTATTAGTTAATACCAACACCTCAACTTTGATGACTATGATAGAAATAACCACCTCTTTAACAACTTGTATTAGCCCTGTAATCATCTGTACAGAAAAATACAAGTGGCTGGCAGGGAGTCGCTAGGCCAGTGCCTAGCTATAAAAGGCACTTCTGATAAGCCACTAAAACTGCTGCACTTGATACAGTGCCCCTCTTCCTATACACATTCAAAGTTGTATTTGATGACGAGATAACCCCCAATCAATCTTGCACACTGTTCCAGGAGCACAACAGCAGTTCAGCTCTTGAGCTGGCAAGCACTAAAAGCAGATTTTTATTAGAGCAGGGCTGGTATGCAGCACTTGAGGGACACCTCGTCAAGCTGGGATTGCTGCATTCAGCCAGAAAGAGGGCAGCTTGAGTAGCCTTCTGCTTTTCCTTCAGGGGATGTAAGGGTCAGACCTGCTATCATAACAGGGTTTCTGAAGGGAGACTTATCTGTATAAACCTTTGGTTTTGACATCCCAAATTAAAAGATAATATACCTTGTTATTGCTGCAGTGGCTGGAAATTGAACAGAACTGCTGCGAGGAGAGGGAGGCAGCAATAGCAAGTCAATTTGGATCCCTATGGTGCTAAATAGGCAGGAGAGGAAAGAACCTCCCAGTACTCATGCCTACCCAGTGACATGTGCTGGGCAATGAAGTCCATGAACACAGCCACACAGAAGATGCTTGATGAGCCTCAGGCAGTGGTGCTTCTCTTGAGGGTACCCCATCCCCTGGCACAAGTGGTCCCTCAGGACACCACACTGGCCAGAGTCCAGGTGCCGCTACTCCTCAGACATGCAAGGGCGTCTCCAGAGTTACCCTGTCCAAACTCCATTGGGGAGGAAAGGTGCCACCCACTCCTGTGCCAGCAGCCCTGACCTTTGATAGTGTTGCATGACAGGCCAGATTTACCACAGAAGCCAACACAATCTTGCTTGCTTCTCCCAAGTCACAGGGGCCTGGCACCATTCCTGCTCATTCAGCTGTTCTTGTTTTATCTACAATGCACCAATCTAAGCTCTGTTGTTTCACTCCCCTGACCTGACTTGCAGTTTGGCAACGTGCCCTTCCTTGTACAAACCCCCCTTTTTCCATGAAGAATGTGAAAATGAGAGCCATTTCACTAACATCAGCTGCAGTACTTCTTTGAAAATGTTCACGCTAGGTATGGCAGAGGGCAAGGAGTTTCCCAAGCTATGGCCTGGTTAAAAAGATGTTCATACAAGTACACCCCAAGGACACAAGTGACAGCCTGGTGAGCAGCCTTCCCTAGGGCAGGGCAAGACTGGCTCCACTCACACTGTTAAGTCAGCAGAGAAGAGTTTGGCACTGAGCAAACTCCTCTATTGCAGCCCATTGCCAGTGGGATTGCTTGACTGAAGGTATCAGACGGCTTGAGTGTGTGTAAGGGGACATCAGGGGAGAGGAAGCAACTTCCTTCTTTCCATCTTCCTGGTAGCATTGTCCACGCCAGGGTCCCTTGCCCAGTGCCTGGAGTCCCACCACTGAAGGTCCCCCCTGGTTTCAGCAAAGGTGGTGGCACTTGCATGTGGAGTTGGAGGTCTGGCTGTTAGCAGTGCCCAGGAAGGTCTAGGCAAGGGGGCAATCATGCTTCAGTCTCCTGTCCACATCCATACTCCCACCTGCAAAAGATTCCCTCTGCCTTCATTATCCTTGAAGCTCCTTGTAAAGCCCTTGCTCAGCAAAGTGCCGACAGCACTCTCAGTGCTGTTGCTTCTCTTTTTCCCCAGGAGGTAACAAGCAGAACAATCCTGCTGCCCAGCAGGAGCCAGGGCAGACGAGCTGTTACCTTGCACACATCACCCTCCACTGTCAGGAAAGCCAGGACACAGCATGGACCTCCACACCGGCAGTAGGTTCATGCTTCTCAGCAGCGTGCTGCAGGTCTGGCTGTCGATGAGGGGCAGCTCCATCTCCTGCAGGATGGGAGCCAGCACCCCAGCCGCTGTGGGACCAGGTCACATCCAGCACCTGCAAGGCAGCTTGCCCCTCCAGCTGAATGATAGCCAACATTCCCATCACCTGGGAGCCACATCCACTGCTTCGCCAACATGCCAGCAAGAATGTCTGGGGTGTCCCACACCAATTGCCTGCCTGGGGTAGTGATGTTTTGATGCAGTTTGGGATCACCAAGCAGAGGTACCCAGTTAGGCAGGTAATACACTGGTTTGCCCCCAACCAGTGCCTCAAAACAGGGTTGGAGCAGATCATTCCCCTGCAGGTTGGACAGCAGACATTGCTTTCTTCTCCTGAGCATCCCGCTGCAGAGCTGGAGACTTTCAGGGGCTGTGACAAAGTCCCCAGCAATGAGAGACCAGCCCTGGCTGGAAGACACTGTACTCTCTGGGGAGGGCTGCTGGGGAGTGGGTAACAGGCAAGTCTCCTCTGTCTTCTCACTGTGGATGAGCCCCAAAGCACTGGGGATGTAAAAATAAAAAGCAACATTCTCAGACATTCCCATCTCCTTTAAAATCTACCAAAACTCAGGCAAGTGCAATTACTTTGAGAGATCAGTTTTCTGATATCTAGAGGAGAGTATAAAAGAGTATATGGTTTTACATACAAGGGAAATATTCCCACCTTCGTAACACCTTGTAAGGCCAGCTCTGCTTGTGAGAGGCTCTGATACACAGGTATGAATATGCACAGCAGCACTGCAAAGTGCAACCTTCTTTAATGTGCTCCAAGGTCCCATGCTGCCGGAAAATGCTGATCTGTACATCCCTACAGCGGCTGGTCCTCTGACAAGCAGAGGAGACCTGATGAGCAAAGGGGTACTTGAATTTTCCATCTGGCAGGAGTCACCTTCTCTTGCATTTCTATTTCTGGAAGAAAATTACTCCTTTCCTTCATAGATTACTCTTTATTCCTGCAACTGTGACCAGAAGGCCCTGCCATTTGACACCCTCAGACACCTTGCCCCAGCCGCTAAGAACATACAGTGTCACTGCCTGGAAGTCTTCATCCTGGTGGGGAAGGCAGATGGGCTGAACCTCATCCCCTGCAGAGGAAAGGGTGCACAAATGAACGCATGAACCTCATGCTTCCAGGAACACATTTGATTTACAGGTACAAACAGCATGCTTCAAGTCACTGTGTTCCATTTTTCCTCTTCCCAAAACACCACAGTCATATGTGGGTATTTATAAAATGAGAATACAAACTGAAGTTAGTCACATGTAATTGAATTTATACATGGAAAATTCAGAGACAGAGATACAAAAGGTTGTTAGCTACCTTTGAATGTTAACTGAAGCAGGAGTATATTTAGGAAAGGGACAAAAGAAAAGGGGGAACAGCATGGAAGAGACGAGGAGACCAGGTTGCTTCTGTATTGGTCTCATATAGCATGGGAAAAGCCAGTGCTTGTGAGAAACTCTTTACATCATTCTTCCCAAAGACCTGATCAGATCAGAGGAGATATGAAGATCATCAAAAACTCAAAAGATTCAGCTCAGTTAAATCCAGATTCATCTTGGTTATTTTTTTCCTTGATATTGGGAGAAAAATGGATCGCAGTTCTCCTTGGCTGCTTTGACGAGGAGTTGGAGTGCCCAGCCTCGAGAAGGGCTAAGCAAGGAGCCCTGTAGTTTCTTCAAGGGTTGTCCATACAGCTCAGATGCTCTCAAGCCCAGTTCATGCCTAGAGACATACATGTTTAGCCACAGAGTGCAAGCACACAGGCAGTCCTCAAGCTGCCTTCCTCACACTGCCTGCCAGGATGTCCAAGCCCTGAAATGAACATTTCTTGGGTCTTATTTCCCTTATTCCTGCCATTATGTGCAAACTGTAAGGCTATCACCATCCCAGCCAGTAATTTGAGACATGACACTAACAGAAAGTTATTTTATGTTGGCTGATCTGCCATCTGATGGTCACAAGTGTTATAAATGCACAGGCAGAACCAGAAAATAATTTTTAGGAATGTATTGAAATGAGAACAAGCAAAACAAAAAAAAGGTTCAGTACGACGGGGAGCCGGGGGGGTGGGGTGGTGTTTCCGCTCCGCACCGACAGACCGAGGACGCCACATGGATGGATGTGCAACGACCAAGCGTGAACAAACCCACCACTTTTTATAGTCTTTCTAATACATAGTCATAAGATGGGTGTGTTTTAGTCCACACAAGCGCAGTGGAGTTTCTCTAATCTCAGCTTTTCTGGCGTTGTTTTTCCACTCCTTTTCTTGCTAAAATGAGAGCCCTTCCGACAGGGTTTTTTCCAGTACTTTTCCACATTTGCAATAACTGTCCATATGAGTCTGTATTTACTTAATAAAATACCTCCAAACCATTTTAACAATAAAACTACAATAAATCTCTTTCAACTTTTGTACATAACAAAACATCAGCAGCACCCATGCTCCTCATATTAAAGTCATTATATTTTTAACATGAATCACCACCATATTCTTCACACAAGCAGTCATGGCCAGTTGGCTGTGACCCATCATAGCTCTATACAACTCAGGGAATTGCCTTTGAAAAACCTAGGAAGCTAGACATTTGTGCATAATTCTGACTCCCTAAAATTACCTCCAGAGGCTTTGCCTTTGCCTACAGAAGTACTTGGAGTGAGCAGGTTGTACTCCAGCCTGCTTCTTAGTGGGCAGGATCCTTGCAGCCCACTATTAGCTAATAGTCCAGGGCTATGGCCAAGAGGAAGCTGATGGCTTTCCAGCAGGTAGCTGAGAGTTAGCAATAGCACAATGGGACTGAAGGAAGCCACACCGGTACAGCTTGTACGAGGAGAACACAGAGGCCCACAGGAATCTGGTGCACAAAGAAAGCACAGGCATAGCCAGAGCACAGACCTTGACTGAGGCACAAACTTCTAGGACAGTTAATCAAAGCCTAGGACAAGAATTAACCCAATTGTGTTACTTCAATATGAATTAAAGGCATAACTGTGGGGACATACTCTCTATTTTAGAGAGCATGAGAATGGAAGGAAGAGGGATGTTTTTTCTGGACCAACTCATCCGATGAGGATTTTGCCAGCATAAAGCACCCTCCTGCAGCAATAACTCATTCCCTTGGGCTCTTGCTTATGGTACCGGGCTGGGTGCTGCAGATGCAGCAGAACCATGCATGTTGCAGTCCATGTAGTGTAGTCAATTGAATATGGGATGGATAATGACACAGGAGACAGGGATGCTCTGCTCCTGCCTGTCCACCTGCCAGAGGTGATGCTTCTCCATGATCACCACCAGCCTCTTCAGGAGTTTTCTGATGGGAAAAAAAACAATGCCAGGTTGATGAGGAAAGAGGCTGCCAGCACAAAGCAATCCATCTCCTGCAAGTTCCCACGCTGACACTGAGCCTGCAACCCCACAGTCTGCTCCTGCCCTGGGAACTGGGCCTGCCCTTCAGTAACAGGGCTTTCGGTCAGGCTGATTTCACATTAGCAGCAATGCAGAGGATTCCCTGACCTCCAGCTGGAAAAGCTGGCCTTGCATTTAAGCGGTTAAATAGGTTTCTTGTTTCATCTGCTACCCGTCAAGCCGCTGTTCATACCTGGGCAGCAGAGAGCTGTTGGGAGGCCAGCGGAGGTGCCAGCAGATTTTACTGCTGCCAGCTCAGTTCAGGGAAAAGGACCATTTATCTTTCACCTTGGGACTCAGAACCCCTGTGCTGGTTTTGGCCTTGAAACATCAAGCTCAGCCCTTGCTACCTGCAGTCTGGGATCCTAAAAGATTCATGAAAGCCTTAAAAGCAATGGGAACTGATTGCCAAGTCATTCTGGACCTATAAATCCTCCTTTCTAATTTTGTTATCAGTGCATTTAGGAGCGGGCAGAGGCCTACCTCCGAGAGCTTTATGATGACTTTAGGCGGCTATATGTAGTTTAAATTAACACTAGACAAGTGTATGCCCATTATGGTTTTTCTGCATATTTTATAAGCAATATACTGTCAGAGTTAAACTTAGAGCAATCAGCTCCAGCAGAGTCAAAACACCATTCAGTATTTCTTTTAGCAATTATGTAGATAGCTACACTATCAGAGCAGAATTGCCCAATAAATAGATGGGCAGTAGATCCTATCTTTAGCAAACCAGATCTTTAGCAAAGGAGTTTACTCTTCTCTGGGGACCCAACAAGTGCTCTGGGGTGCAGGGTGGGACAGTTTTGCACTCAGTGGGAGACATGAACTGCGGTCGTTGATCTGACTGGTACTGGGGCACTGCAAGAGAGCCCGCAGGAGCTGCACAACTCCTCTGTGTTCTGGATGTCATAGTTTCCTGTTACCAACTCTCGCAGCACAGGGCACCACACAGCAGCAAGCCCCTCTCAAGGTCTTTGCAATTAGAGCTGATTAAAGGTCTGCCTGAACTATTACTGAAACGCAACATAACCCAGACCTGAAGCAACTGCCTTTTCTCTCCAGACTATGTTCACTTGAGAATCCAAGGAACTCCAGTGTGCAAGCAAGAGCTTTGAAGCCTATTTACCCTTGATTTCTCACCCTTATACGTGTTTTGGTTTTTCTTAAACTCTTGCCCTTAATCTCTTCTCTAACCTCCATGGGATTGCACCCCTTCACAAAAGTTCAACTGCTCTAAGATACCACTCTGGTAGCAAATCTTGGGCAGCCTGGCTTGAGGTGGCTGGTCGGCACACACTATTATGACAGCTCGCCCTGAAGTGTGTGGCCCCAAACATTTTGAATCAAGGTATGGGGGTTCAGCCTTTGCTTCAATGGTTTCTAGTAAATTAAGATTTTTTAATTTTTTTTTTCTCTCCCACTCAGGGAAACCCTTTCTTTCATTTTCTAATCACTTCCAGCCATAAGTAACAGACCCACTAATGGCACAGCTCAGCTTTAATCCCAGGAGGCTGTTTACTGGAACTGGAAAGTTTCCATACTTCCCAGCAATGTCTGATACTGGGATTGCCTGGCAATGCAAATGCTGCAGTAATAGGAACACAGGAGCAGCATTGGCAGCATTACAGTGGACAGTAAAAGCACTGGCTAGTTTTGCACAGAATAGAGAAATAAGGAGGTGCCTCATTATCAAGGTTAATCTTGCACATTGAAATTTTTATACCATAGCAACTTTCTCATTATTCAGTGTTAGTCCTCAAAAATTATGCTCAAGTTGAGCAAGAAACAGATGTGAAGCTGACTGGTCTGCAATTACATTATAATGGATTATAAAAGGCCTGGCAAAGTGGCTGCTTATATTACTGTCCCTGCCCATTAAGAGGTCTTTAGCATGGCCTGTGAAGTTGGTCTTGCATTAAAAGTACAGAAGCCAAAGTGACTGCTAGGAACAACAGGAGAGTTGCCAAGGCTGCTTTTACCAGGAAGTTGCAGTGCTTCCCCTTCTGCCTCAGAAATGCTTCTCTGGATGTTTGCTTTGGTGGGCAGGGTCTTTTAAAGACAAAGCCTTTAAAATTAATGATTTAGACATTTAGAAGAACTGTGGTAACATGGAGATTTCCACACCCTGATCTCTGTCCCAGGGCTTCCCACACCGCACAGAGTTCCTGAGCACTGAACACAACAGATTGATTTGATTTGCAAACTCCCTGAGTGGGGGACCCCTCTCCCCAGGTTTTGGGGAAAAACATGCAGAGACCCAACAAAGAGCAAGCAGCATGCTGGAGGGTGCATAAGTTGCTCAACGACCCATGGCTCTGGAGCGACACATCCCACAGATCTGACTGTGTCAGAGGACTGGCCCTGCTCAGCCTCTTCCCTCCCTAACTGGGAGATCTGGGCCATTTCCCTCCCTAACTGGGGATCACACACCTGGGCCAGAGCACTCCCCCTGTCCTAAGGGGAACTTCTGCTGCAAGAGGCTCAAGAAGTGAGGGGGTGAGGCTGATTTATGGGTCCATGTTGACCACGCAATGAGCAATTGTAATAAACGTGTCTTTTCGGACCAGACTGTCACCACAGAAATGGAAATGGCCCACTCTGAGGGACACCCTCAAAGAAAGGGTCAGATATGTTTTGAGACAAAGTGACGCCCATTTCCTCACAAAATGTAAAATAACAAAGATCATCCCAGCTCAGAAAATAACTTTTTCCTCCCAGTATTAGTGTGTGGGATGCCTTATTGCTGTAGCTGAGAGAAGTAGTTTCTAAGCTGTGGCTGACTGTTGACAGCACCTTCAGCCCCAGTGGTGCATGGGAGGAATGAGACCCTGGAGCATCCTGAAACAGAGGGGACCAGACAGACATCTTAATTCTCTTGCTGCTGCACAAGCTTCTCCAGGGCTTGATGCTAGCCAGGAGTCCAGAGGCTCCATCCCTCTGACCCCAGCACCCTATATTCCCCGTACACCACCCCCTCCTGTGCCTTCCTACACTTCATGCTACTACCTGCATACATTTTGAAGCTGCTGCATGTGCAGGGCCTGGGTTTTGGAGGGGAGCAGGTGGCAAATACTGCTTTGTTGCAGATACCAGTGTTTGCTCTGGCAACATGCAAACAAGTAGTACTTTTCTAAATAGACCCATGTCCTGTTCAGTTACTTGTAAGGCATCATCCCACAATCATTACTCAGTGCTTTTCCTTATGTGAACACAAGTCACCAGACAAGGTAACTTTCCTCTGCAGCAGAGGACCAGGGAGGCGTCCTCCTTTCTGACCTCTGCAACCTCTTTCCACAACATAAACCCAAGGAAATCCTCAGCTAGTGCAGCCACAAAAGCTCTGCATCTGCATTAGCTCACACCAGTCAGAGATTTTTGTCTTAACCATTAGATCAACTCATTCCCTCCCCATGGGAGGGGGATCAGCCTGGGAAGCTGGACAAGAGAGACTTTTAGACCAACTTATACTCCTGAGTGAGCAGCATTCAATGACTTGAGGAAAAAAAAGAGATTTTCCTGCTGCCTCTCCTCCCCCTTCCTCAGGAGGAAGGCAGCACACTGGAACACAGACCTGTCAGGGCTACCCCCAGGCACAAACTCTCCCTCCAACAATTTGAGAGAAATACCCCAGCAGCAGAGCAGCCTTTGAGCTCTTCAGGTCAACGGGATGAAGTCCATGCTTCAGGCCTACACAGAAGACAGAAACAAGAGTGTTTTGCAGTGAGACACCTCCCCCCTCCCCACATGCTCAAATGTATCACACTAGGCTCTTCTGTTAGCTAGGGAATTAGGTGTCCCAGCTTTCCTGACTCCAGACTGAGCTCCAAGCTGAAGGCAATTATATGGAGATAAATGAAAACACACGGAAACTGCATTTCTTGATAAGATGCTGATGTGTGCAAAGCTGAGGTCTCCTGTGAGGCATTTTGATGATGTGTGAATGCAGTCATAAGAAAAGGAAATTTAGATTTCATCCAGTAGCCTAGTTATTCTTAATGAAATGCATCTAAGATTTACAAAATTAAGTAACAAGTGCAACAGTAATGATGCCCCCCGACTTTATCTGAAGTTTATTATTTCAAAAATTCCATACCTAAGTGTCCTGTGGCACTTAACCTGAGAAAGTTAAGTCATCAGGAAAGATCTTGTCTCTGAACTGAGGTGGCCCAGCATGCAGTCTTGGCTTTGGTCTGAAACACATTGTAACGAGACAGAACTTTTTCCTGTTACTTTTGGCACTGATTGTGCCTTAGAAAGGTGGACTATGAGCTCAGGTAAAGTTTGACTTGGGGATGGCTGTGTCTGATTAAATTTTAGATGCTTATTGAACTGTGCAGTCTGAGATAAATTCATGGCAATCCCATTTATGTTTTCTAGGGAAAACCCCACCAGTACTTGCACAGCAGGGAATGATGCACACATTGGCCAGCCTGCCAGACCCCGTGCTGGGTGAGGAGAAAGGGGTGTGCTGCTCCCCTGGGTCAGCTCAGGAACATGATCATCACAGCAAAGATCACACAGGAGGAGTGATCTCAAATATTGGGACACAAAGAAAAGGAATTGACTGCAGCTTCTCATACTGGGAGTCTGCTTCTCCAGACTGGATGATTGTGGGAGAGAGGTAGTGCCAGGCTTCTGGCTCTTTTGCCAAGAAGACAGCAGTCCTTCCTCCACTCCCTCAGCTGGCCCATGTCTGCATCAGCTAAAAATCACTCTGCTAATCACTCCTGTCGAATGTGTTTCTTATGCCAACAGGAGGGGTCCCCTGCCTCTCCCAAGCCAAGGCTGGGATAAGAGTTCAGTTCCCAGCCATGCACACATAAGCAATATAATGCTTATGATTTAGGAGGTACTCGCACCATGTTTTCCCTGGC